GGTGTCTTAGTGAGTTACATGACATCTGTTGGTGTCTTAGTGAGTCACATGACATCTGTTGGTGTCTTAGTGAGTCACATGACATCTGTTGATGTCTTAGTGAGTTACATGACATCTGTTGGTGTCTTAGTGAGTTACATGACATCTGTTGGTGCTTTAGTGTGTCATGTGACATTTGTTGATCTATTAGTGTCAAATGACATCTGTTGGTGTCTAGTGAGTCAAATGTCATCTGTTGGTGTCTTAGTGAGTCACATGATATTTGTTGGTATCTTACTGACATCTGTTATGTGACATCTGTATATATTGCCCAGTATGTGTCATTCGTACCATGTACATTTTGCAGAGCTTTTCACACTCAATTTAAACTTGGCTAAAATAATTGCCACTGTATGTCAAATATTTATGACACCTTCCAATGTTTTCTTCTCAAAATATACTGGGTATCTGTGGGCAAGTTTATAATATTTGCTCATTTAAATTTTCTGTGATTAGTTTTGTAATCTACCTATGCATGTGTATTATGCAGCTAGTCTGATGGTGATTGGCTGGATTGGTTTCTGTAGTATAGCTATCATATTTGCCAGATTTATGAAGCCAGTATGGCCTAATTCTCTGTTACTGGGAGAAAAAGTTTGGTTTACTGTGAGTATAATTGCCATATTTATAACATATTTAGTATGGGGTCACCCGACAATTTCTTGAGAATCTTAATGTTTGCAATGTCATCACTGTTTTTTTAGGGACACAATTTCTTTACATCTCAAATTTTTGCTGAGTGACAATTTATGCTATATTATTTTACAAAGGACATTAAGACTAATACAGTATATGTAGTATTAATTGAGAAAAACTTTAGCTAGTATTTTCTTGCCAAATTTTGCTTAGATATGTTGTTGTACTACTGTACTATTCTGACTAAGTGCCGACTTCTTACGTTTGTGGGATATCTGTTTTTGGGTTCACATGCAACTAAGTGCCAGCCCCTTCTGAAATTAAATAAACGATCAAGTCATGAAAACTGGTCATTATTACAGTGTGCATTGTGACTATTGTGATTGGGGTATTTGAACTTTGGTAATTTACTTTCACATTGTGTTGTAAAAAAAGGCATCATCAATATTCAGAAATTCACGTTTGTGGGATATCTGTTTTTGGGTTCACATGCAACTAAGTGCCAGCCCCTTCTGAAATTAAATAAACGATCAAGTCATGAAAACTGGTCATTATTACAGTGTGCATTGTGACTATTGTGATTGGGGTATTTGAACTTTGGTAATTTACTTTCACATTGTGTTGTAAAAAAAGGCATCATCAATATTCAGAAATTCACAGGATATGGTGTCAGTACAGCACAGCTTTACTATTTAAAAATTGTGAAGCACCATTTTTTTTTTAAATCTTGCAATTTTTGTTTGTAGAAACCGGTTTGTTTCAACAGATTGGTAATTCACTTCTGCATTGTGTTATGAAAAATGCCATATTTGGAAATTCATGTTAAATTGTGTCAGTACAACACATTCTGTTTGATTAATAACAGACTTTCCTGTCAGGTCAGAGGGCGTTGTTGCAGGTTGAATCATGCAAGAAAACATGACAGAAAATACATTTCAAGAGTTTTTCCCTCATACACGTACCCCTAATAATTTTACACCATAAATTCTGATGGTATGTAAATAATATTGTAATAAAATGTGCATATTTCTGATGATTATTTCTGTTTCATCATTGTAAAAATTTTGAGGAAATCAGTGACTACGCAAATCATTTCACAATTTTCTTTTCTTCCAAAAGAAGCAATATCCCCTTCTAATCTGGCACATTGTGAAAGAATATGTTCTTTGGATAATTGTTTGAGGGGGGGGGGGTGCTAAGTGAAGTTGCTGACTGGTTTGTTACTGTCACTGCTATTTTGGTTCATAAACTAAAACAACAACAACATTGCCAGCAATGTTTGTAGATCAAATCAAATTAAAATGCATTAATTACAAAGACATCATAAAGATTTTATTGATGTCATTTTGTTTTTCTGATTTGATTCAAAATTGCTGATTCATGGCCATTTTGTTTTTTAGAATGTTTTATGAGCTATATCTATGACAAGTCGTGACTAATCATGTTCAAATTTTATATGCATCATAATATCTAATACCACATATATGCACATCAAATATATATTGTCGAATATTTTGTTCAAACTTGCTATGTACATGTACATTGAACATTATGCAACCTTGATGCACATCATTCTGTTTCCTCACATTGGATTTAAATTGCCAAAAGGGGGTCATTTTTTTATTGAATGTAATTCTGGAGCCATCTATCTGACCTGCTCTCGCAGATCATATTCAAATGTTATATATTTTATATCTTAAACTTGATAACTCACAGGAACTACATGTATGTAATGCAATTATTTGAAACTAATAATATTTTAAACAAAAGTCAATAGTGTTTCACTTGAACAAGTAAAATGAAACCCCAATGTTAAAGTCAAGGAATCAGTTTTAATGCTCGACCATGCATTATCTTGTTTTTTTTTTTCAGTTTCACCGTAGTTTACAGATACTCAATGTACTGTGTTTTGTGACTGCATTTATACTAATATTTGTATATGTAGGAGGTTTTGTAACATACAACAGTTCAACTGATGTAAGTTAAGATTTATTTTCTTAATTTCAATATCATTTCACAAATAATATATTTTTGTGATAACTGGTGAAGTCAATTAACATAAAATGCTACTCATACACTTTTTGCATATATTTTAGCGTGACTAGGGTATCTGTGATAACATTTGTTTACATTTTAAACAGCTAATGTATGAATGTTTGAAAAGAATTGTGGCTCACTGACCAGCAATATCTCTGCTCTGTCAATGTTGCCCATTGTTACTGAATGCGTACACATGCAAAATATAAACAAGTGCTCTGGCCATATATATCTGTAATGTCAAATCTGTCAATAGTTTTTCTATTATTATAGTGTCCAGACGTTTTTTCTCTGTAGATTCATCTTTGAACTATATACATACACATTATAGTTTTGTAATCTGATGCATATTCTATTTTTTATTGTAGCTGGTGTTCATACATGCAGTGTGTGGTATCATTGCAGTCATTCTTGGGTTAACCAATCCTATTATGGCAATATTTAGACCTCATCCTGGGGAACCAAAGTAGGTTATTAATAAGTTTTATATAAAAGTTTATATATAAAAATATACGATATTACAACGCCTTTATTCAGTACATCCAAACAAAAAATCCTTACATAGTCAAGTTCATGGATGAATCAGGGGTAAAAATAAACAGTGGCCAGTCGCGCTATGAACATGTGTTGAAATTAGTAAATACGCAAACAGTGCCAACTATTCCCTTAGTCTTCTCATAGGTGTAAATGGAGTGAAGTACAGTGACGTCATTGCAGAACCTTCAAATACAAATGAATATTTGAGATTTTTTGTTGACGCAACCGAGGCACATGATAATGATGGTCAACCAATATTGTTACCAGGTGATACTATAGTAGTCAACAATGCACCGATTCACAGACACGAGGGAGAACGTCTTTTGTCAAACTGGTTGGGAGATATGGGAATGGAACTTGTATTTTTGCCAGTGTACTCCCCTGAGTTAAACCCTGTTGAAGAATATTTCAACAAATTGAAAACTGTTCTACAGAGAGAGCATTACCGTACTATTTTACATGATAATGTGCCTGTGGCGGTGTACGATGCACTTTCCACCATAACGCTTATGGATATTTTAGAGTTTTACAGACACACCAATTATCTGAGAGTTTAGTGTTGCAGTACTACTTTCATGTTCAGATTTGTGTAATAAATCTATAACTACATAAAACATGCTGTCTTGTCCTTGATTAGCTCTGTGTCAGGTATATGCCAGTGGCGACAAAGCGTTGTTAACGCGCCGTATGTGTATCTATGTTTATAGTAGTCAATTTTGCGGCGCCTCAAAAAAAAAAAACGTCGTTCAGATGTACGTAGTTTGGCAACTTTGCTAATTTTGGTTGTATTGGTCTTGGTATCATTACATAAGATTTAGTTAAAAG